TTTAATTCATTTTTAAGTTATTTTATATAATTTATATTAATTGTATTAAACCTAACCTCTCAGGCCTTTCAAGTGGGAGAGGGTAAGGGTCGACTATCCTAGATGCTTCCCCCTCCCGTAAATCTATTCTGGATCCGTGCCTGACACCACTCACAAATTAAATTAATAAAATAGACTAAGAATTAATAATATATAATCATAGACCAGACCACACTWCCACTGTGTCACACGGACAAGTATAATTGTTTATTAWGATATCTTAGTCCGTGATATAAATATAGGTACATAATATTGATTATAAAWTTACCCTAAAATAAAACAGATTATAAGATATCCACCATGATTATAATTAATTATAATCGTGATTTCCATCTTTAATTATGTGCTTCAATCAATTAAATTTTAGTTTTTTTTTAATAATAACCACTGTGTAACATTAATATTTTATTTTTACCAGAAAATTTTTCAAAAAAAAATGTTGATTAATTTTTGAAGATCGCTAAAAGTTAAGGCTATTATCATTTCAATAGTTTATACTTGTAAGGATTAAAGAGGACGGAGGGATGATTTATTAAGTAAGTTTTAACTAAATTCCTTTTTTTTTTAAAGTAGTGTTAAAAAAAAATGTTTTGAAATGGCACCACTGTATAGTTACAGACTTAATGGTAAAGACTGATGTTTGATACGGTAAAGTAAATAATAGTGTTATCTTTAAAATTGTTATTGGCTATTAAAATATGAAATTGAAAAATGTATATTAGTTACTGTAGGAAATTATTATTTTATCTTTTAAATTTAAATTCAATTTTGAATTTAAGCAAGTACGTTTATTGAAATTTAAAATTTAATTAAAAAAGGCTGGCTCTATTATATATACTTAATAGTAGAAACTTATTGGTCTGTGTAAATATTGTATCAAGAATATTATAATAATATTACATTTTTTTTTACTGAATAATTAATTTTTTGTACGATGTACAAAACAACTTCAATAGTGAGGAGGTTAGTAAAATAAATATTGTTAATCATTCATTTTTAAAAATCAATTTTTATTTTTATTTTAGTTCTTGTGTAGCTTATWGAGATGTAAGTTTAATTGGAATGATTTTTAAATCAAAAGAACATTATTACAATATATGTTTTGTTTTAACTATTAAATGTAGTTTAATGTTTTACTACCTAGTTATTATGTAGTGCACAATGAATATAAAACTAATATTGTTAGAATCTGTAGTTGCTTATGTGTGGACATTAATGTTTTTTTTTCTATTGGTATTTATGTATTTTAATGAAAATTGTGTGTTAGGTTATTTTAATATTATATATAATATTAATAAATAATATTATATATATTTTAATTATTATAACATAAATATAAGTGAAACTATGATTCATCATTTCATTTTTTTAAGTGTGTGATCTACCTAAAAATAAACATAAAATAATTTATAAATGTTGAAATAATTAAAAATACATCAATATTATTTTTGAATTATAAATATGAACTTAGTTCATGTTTTCCCGAAATTTTACTCACAAGTTTTTGGGATTTGTTATTTTGTTTTTTAGAATATTATTACCAACATTCAGATAAGTTCATGGTAGTTTTCATTAGTGTTAAATCTCAATAATATCTCACATTTTCATGAGATTTTAAGATTTTGAATTCTAATATCCATCAAAATCTTTAAAATGTTTGATTATAAGTCCCAATTACAATATTTAAAAAATGTGCTGTTCTCAACATTCTCCATTCAATTTAGATAATTAGAGTTCTCATATTTATATCTCTGCTTGTAAGGTAGGTTACACATTAAATTAAAGCCATATTAACATTTTTATGCTAAAGATTCATGGTATTGTTTTATTTTGAATGCATATTAAATATCTAAATTAGAATATGTGAATACAACATTTTTTTAATTTCAGATTTATTTTACAGGTACTTGTTTGTCATGGCCCTGCCATCCATATAAGAAGTGTAACTAAGGGGGGATAAGGGGGATAGATCCCCCCCAAAACTTTTATTTTACTGTTAATATTTTATATTTGGTGGAGTAGGTTATTGTATTAGGCTTACAGATTTTGCTAAAAACATATAACACCCCTTCCCGACCAAATTCCTATATATGCCATAAATTTAAACTAATGTATTTATTTATTTATTTGTTCAATAATGATAATAATTTKATGATACAGTAGTCACTCGACAATTCGAAAAACTCCATAAATCGAACTAAACGCAAGTTCCCTGAAAAACCTCTATAATTAGAAAAAAATACATGTATTCTGGTCCCCATGATAATTCAAAATGTCTTTCAAAAAAACACACTCTATTATTAAAATTTTTACTCCACAAACCTCAATAATTCTAATCAAAATCTTGCTATTAATAAGTTAAACAATGCTCTGGACCAGATTGTGG